AAGGGTTAAAGACATAAAGACCTGGATGGCCGCTAACTGCTTCTTAATTCAGATCAAACTGAGGTTATTGGGCTTTATAACCAGTGATGGGTTTAGTGAATGGGTGTTGTGGTAAGACCTGAGGACCGATGGTCAGACTCTGCTGCAGCGTGGCAGTCAGTCGCTCCACCAGTTGGTCCTGGATGCCGCCGCTGTCCTGAAAGCGAAGAAGACGAGGTTTGATGCTCCCGTGTATCATCTGACAGAGATCTTAATGGACTTCTGTCAAACTGACTCTGACCCGAGGTCCAAGCTTTCAGTAGGACAGATTGTTGTAAGGCTTTCTTTGCAGCACAACGACTGCACCTCATACAGAACGCAGAGTCCTCACAAGTATGCAGAAATCTGAAGTCACTGCATCAGCTTGCAGGTCAGCACAGACTGACCTTTAAGTCCATCCTCTGGTTCCCGATACTGTCATACAGCTGTGACCTGCTCAGCTAAGATATTTGAACTGCTCCGAGTGTGTGTGTCTGTGTTTTTTTGTGTAGTTTTGTTTTGTGTGAAGTGTGTAGAGTTGATGTGTGTGATGACATGCTGTATGAATAAAGTTTGCATCAACAGTTTGAACAGAGACACGACAATGCTGCTCTGTGGCGACTCTTTCATGCTCTGATCGCTCTCACTGATCAAACAACCTCCAACAGGTGAGTACACACTCGTGCTGACCTCACATTACCACCGTACCTACCTGGCAGTGAGAGAGCGCACTCAGAGCCTGTTTGTAGAGCTGAACCGCTTTGTGTTGCTTCCTCTGCACCAGGTAACACTCAGCCAGCACCTCGCACACCTGAGCCTGTGCCAGGTAGTCCCCTACACACACACACACACACACACACACACACACACACACACAGGTGAGCACAGGGGTCTCACCTGTCCGATGTACATAGACAGTACTGATGTTACCTGTGTCTCTGAATCCCTGTAGGGCGAGGATTAAGCTCTCTGCTGCTTCCTCTTCCTCACCGATCCGACTGAAGGCAAACGCAAGGTTACTGAAACAGCGAGCCTGGTCGCCACGGCAACCCTGAGAGCCTGTACACAAACACAGAGCATTGTTATAGCTAAACTGATTTTCCTGTCAGACTCCTGATTAAAGATGTGGCAAGTGTTTGTGAGGGTCAAAGGTGAACTGCTTAAACAGGTGAGCCGCAGGTGTGCGCCTCACCGTACAGTCCAGCGGCCAGCCTGTGGTAGTCCACGGCGGACCTGAACTGGCCCATGGAGTTCAGCGCCGCTCCCAGGTTGTGATAGACCTTGGGCAGCAGGGGGGGCCACTTAGCCGCGGGGCTCAGAGCCTTCTGGAAACACTGCACTGCCTCCTGGAAAGACCTGAGCCGGCAGTAAGACACGCCCACCGACAGGTACAGCTCACCTGAATGACAGAGAAGCAGTTACAGTAACTAGTGCGTGCTCTCCTCATGCCTGGGTGTTTGGTACGCAGGGCCCACGACTGAGAACAGGAAGGCTGCACAGATGGTTATTATCACCACCTTGGAGGCCATCGCCAGATCCTCCTGTCTCAGGTAAACCAGGGCCATGTGATGCCTCACATCCCGCCCACAAACCCGTTTGACCCGCGGCTCTCTAGTGGGTACCACAGGTCCATCAGGTCCCACACCTCCAGACTCACCTCTTCCCCTGGACCAGGGGTCAGCAACCTTTAACACCCAATGAGCCATCTGGACGCACCTGAGCTGCACCCGCAATCACGCCTCGCCACCTTTAAGTCTGTGCTCTCTCTGCTGTTGTGTTGGTGTGTGTCGGGCTGTGAGCTGCAAAGCTACAGTCGGCTGTGTGCACACAGCAACCGTGTGTGAAAAGTGGTCAATAAAGAGATGCTGAAAAGCCTGTTCATGGAAACATCGTCGGGTCTGCCGTGATATGTTTACAACGGGACTTCTGCTCCTGAACCTCTGCGCACAGCGTCTGCAGATCGGGGCTGTACGAAGTCACTTTATCTTTACGCAGGACTGTAAGCTGTCGTCTGTGAGGCGTGAGCGTGTTTGTTTTAACATAGTTGGGGAACAGCTGCTGACATGATGTGTGTCACGGTCTGCGGAGGCAGACCGTGCGGAAATGTGTGTGGTGGACCCAGGAGCGAACACAAGCGAGGATGCAGGAGTGGAGTTAAACAAAAGCGAGCCTTTTATTCTGGCTGATGAAAGGAACAAAACAGAGTGAGGGCAGCATAAGAGTAAATAGTTCAAACAGAAACCTAAACTGGACATAAACTAAGGAAAAGCTATGGCTGGAGATACGGAACACAGGGGGTGGTAACACAGACGACGCGACACAGACTACATGAAACACAGAGACTAAATACACAAGAGGGATGATCAGGGGAAGTGGCCACACATGGGAACACAGCTGACACAGATAAACATAACAAGACATGGCAGGAGTAAACAACACTGACGGGAGACTGTCAAAGTAAAACAGGAAGTACACAGAGGTGCAAACAGGAGGAGAGAGAGAGAGCACGGGCATAGTGGGCTGGGGAAACATGGAATGAAACAAGGAGGGGAGATGAGGGCTCACAGATACATAGAGGGGCACACAGGGGATAAAAGTCACAAGGGGAAGTCAAATAAGGAACACCACAACAGCACAACTTAGGAAACATGGCCTAAATAAGGAACGAAATACAAAAATACAAGAAACTAAGAATACTGGGCCCACATGGCCCAGGACCATGACAATGTGGATCCGAAGATCCATAATTGGCCTGGCTGGGGTTGAAAGTCTCGGTAAATGCACGCCGTTTCAGCGGGTACACCAGCTTCCACGAGTGTGACGCTTATTTTGAGCGATGAAAAAATAATAGAATACAATTTTATTTTTATATTTCAATATCACAATAATCTTCCAATTTAGAACTACAAGTTAAAAAAGAACTAACATAAATAAATTACACTTCAGCTAAATACTTTAATTTATTTTCCCAAACCACGCGGAGCCGCACTATAAGGACTAAAGAGCCGCAGGTTGCCGACCCCTGCCCTGGACCATTCGGACGGTTAACAAACACCCTCCCCCCACACCCCACCTTGGCCACCCACCAACCTGAACCCTCGTCACTCAGGTCAGTCACACACAGACTCTACTTAGACCAAGTCTCTGCACTACCTCCAAGCATTTTGCAGGTTTTTTCTCTAACGGCTTTCTCTTGTGTCTCCTGTGTGTTATTTATTCCTGCATAGTTGCCTTGGAGCACCACAGCTCGATTGCACAGTGACACTAAAGGCCTATTCTATTCTATTCCATTCTGAATCAAGCAACCTTCTTTCAGGTGATTACCCAGAGTCCTCGGGTCCGTAATGCTCCCCATCAAACTCAGACACTCTGACAGCACACCGATGATGTCCTCCTGGTTGCACTGATCTGATTGGGTCATGTGACTTCCTGCTTCTGACAGGGCGGTGGCTGCATAGTCCAACATGTTGGCCACTCTGTAACTCTCTGCAGCTCGCAAGTAACCCTGAGCCGCCAGCGCCCAGTCCTGTGACACACAGACAGACACACCTGAGTCACCTGGCTCACCTATTCTGTGTCAAATCAGGTTTTGGTCCTGACCCGTGTCCTGCTGTAACAGCGGCTCATCTCCACGCAGGCATCCCCCTCGCTGCAGCCGTCTCCTTGTGACCTATACAGCTGGGCAGCTTGCAGGAAGTAGGTGGCGGCCTCCCGGCTCTGCCCCAGTGCATCATGGGCCAGGGCAAGGTTGAACTGGAGGTCAGGGAGGCGGTCGGCCTTGGGACCAGGCTGAGCATGCCGCAGGAAGTCCAGACCTTTCCGAGGTCGTCCTACCTCCACATAGGCAGCCCCGAGGTTAAAGGAACAGGCCCGCAGGACCCGCGAGTCCTGGAGCTGAGAGCATGATATGAAATGTAGTGCCAGGAGTGCCACTAACACTGCTGACACCGCATCTGTTCTTGTAACTGCCTCACCTGCTCTGCAGCCTTCAGGGCATCTCTGAAGTACCTCAGCGCCTCCTGTGGGCGTCCCTCCTGCAGCGCTTTGTTCCCAGAAGATGTCAATTCCTCAATGTCTGCTGTCTGCTTCTGCCCCACACTCCCACTCCTCCTCTTCACCTTCACAGCTTCTGGGGCTGCACGGGACGTCATGCTGGACCTGAAGGAGGAAGAGTCACCTGGATAAAGACATGCAGATGTGCTGACCTGCTGCCTTCATCAATGAATCAGCTGACTACCGGAGAACCTGCAGGTTCAGGTGTGTGGACCAATCAGTCAGATCCATCCTCAGGATCAGGCGCAGGTCAGTGAGACAAATCAGTAACAGTGATTATCTACGTTATTATTGTTCCAGACTTTTAATTCATTTGAAAGCCTGATGCT